TTATTTCACTGTTAATAAGTAACAAAGGATATTTGCTCATTTGCAATGGATCACATAAAAAGCTGAAACTAATGCAGGCCATAGATGGGTCGAAAACTGGCCATTTAAAAAAAAAAAAAAAAATGGTCGTTCAATAGGCCGACGTTACCGTAAAAAAAAAAAAATAAAAAATCTGCCGATTTTCATCCCGTCTACGGACAGCTTTTAATTACTTCTGTCCGTTGCAGAGAGCTCTGCTATTATATTTGACATGAAAAAGTATTGTGGTTGCAACAATGTATCCATTTGTATCCATTTTGGATACAGATGTTTTTATTCAGATATACATAGATACATTGTTGCAACCACAAGACTATGTCAAATATAATAGCGGACTGGAATTCTTCTTCTTCTTCTTCTTCCTTTTCTTCTTTGTCTTTTTCTTTTTCTTTTTTTCTTCTTGAGGGTCACTGCTCATGTGCAGATTTTTTATCGGTAAAACGATCGGCCAATTTACCCATCATTGGCGGGAAAATCGGCCGATCGGCAAAATCAGCCAATTTTTCCAACTTTACCGATTAAAAAAATGTGCCAAAACCCCGAAAAATGGCCGACCAATTAACCCACTAACGGTGTGAACATCGGCCGATTTTTTTTTTTTTTTTGGCCGAAAAATTGGCCAATTTTTGACCCGTCTATGGCCTGCATTAGACTGCTGGCTCTGCCGGTATAATATCAGGTGAGCCCTTCATCTGTACTTCCGGCAAAATGTTATTCGCCAAATGTATATTTCTGTATGTAAAAGTGCAGCGCTAAAGTAAAAGTACAAAAATTATTATATATCAAGAAAACAGTAAAGTGCACCATACAAGTGCACTGAAAGTGCAAATATAATGAAAATTAAAAAATGATCTGTAAATAGTAAGTGAGGTAGATACAATTAAATTGGTATAATGAAATATAATAATAATTTAGTCCATAAAATATATATTAATGTCCATAGGGCCATAAGGTGCAGCAATAGTAGGTGCAAGATGAACTGTAGTAATAATCAAGTGAGGGAATCCACCACCTCTGTCAGGTGTAAACTCACCAGAAAGCTACTGGTAAATAGCATGTATGTATATCACATCTGAAGACCAGGGGATCTAACACGAACTGCTCTGTTGCAGGCAAAGATGAAAGATGGACCCTTTCCTAGGGGAGATAGCTCACCACAGGAGCGAAGAGATCGTATATAATTTAGTAATTTTATTGCAATACAAGATAAAACATCCACGTTGAATAGGTATAAAGATCAGGTAAAAGAGAAATACCAAGACGGCCGCTGCTCCATCCTTCGGCAGCGTGACGTCAGCAAGTATGACTCCGCCCAACGCGTTTCGTCCGCATGCACGTTTTCAGGGGTATGACCACTCGTATATTTCTGTTGCTAGATCTTTGTGTTATAAATGGTGAAGTGATGTATTTGGTATTTTCTATGTCTTTATGAAGACTGGTGTGTCTGGTGGACACAGCAGGTGTGCAGCACCCCCATGTGTTACTACAAGCAAAATGATGTATGGGTACTTTGCTTTGACTGTACATGCTGCCCACCCGCAGTAAAAGGGCTGTGGGCGATTGGGAAGAAGCTAACTACTTGCCGACCGCCCACCGGCATTGTACAGCAGGCGAGCGGCAGCTCTGAGTAAAGTGTACACATACGTTGCAATTTCTAGGAGTGAGCGCACATGCGTGTGCACCCTACTGACACCCCCTAATAGTCCAGGGAGAGAAGAGAGAACACCATACTGTGAGGAAAATCACTACATTATTATTATTATTATACAGGATTTATATAGCGCTAACAGTTTGCGCAGCGCTGTACAATATAACGGGAGACACTACAGCAACAATACAGTTCAATACAAGAGGGATAGGAGGGCCCTGATCCTGGGAGCTTACAATCTAGGAGGGAGGGGCTAGTGGTACAAAAGGTAGTAACTGTGGGGATGGACTGGTAGGAGGAGTAGAAGATTCATTATTAGCTGAGGGCAGGATGGGCTTCCCTGAAGAGATAGGTTTTCAGAGATTGCCTAAAAGTGAGCAGAGTAGGCAATAGTCTAATAAATTGGGGTAGAGAATTCCAGAGGATGGGGGAAGCTCTGGAGAAGTCCTGGAGACGAGCATGGGAGGAGGAGTCAAGGGAGCTAGAGAGCAGGAGGTCTTGCAAGGAGTGGAGAGGACTGTTTGGGTGATATTTGGAGACAAGATTGATGATGTAATTTGGGGCAGAGTTATAAAATGGCATTATATGTTATTGTTAATGTTTTGAATTTTATCCATTGAGCAATGGGAAGCCAGTGCAGGGATTGGCAGAGAGGGGTGGCAGATACAGAACAGTTAGTAAGGTGGATGAGTCTGGCAGAAGCATTTATGATAGACTGAAGAGGGGATAGCTTACAATGAGGTAGGCCAATGAGGAGGGAGTTACAATAGTCAAGGCGAGATATTACAAGGGAGTGAATAAGTTGCTTAGTGGTTTCCGAGGTTAAGAACGGGCATATCTTGGAGATGTTGCGGAGGTGAAGTCTACAGGATTTAGACAGTGATTGGATTTGGGAGTCCAGGATTACACCTAGTACCCTGGCATGATGGGAGGGACTGGTGGTTGTATTATTGATCTTGGTGGAGAAGTCAGGGGAGGGGGCAGGGACTGGAGGGAATACTAGGAGCTCAGTTTTGGAAAGATTGAGTTTGAGGAATTGGAGTGACATCCATGCCGATATGTCACTTTGTAGGTTAGTAATGTGAGAGGAGACTGAAGGGGTGAGGTGAGGGGTAGAAAGATAGATTTGTGTGTCAGCATAGAGATGGTACCTAAAGCCTTGGGAGTTTATCAGGTGACCAAGGGAGGAGGTGTAGATGGAGAAGAGTAGGGGTCCAAGAATGGAACCCTCAAGGACCCCTACAGAAAGAGGGAGTGAAGAGGAGGAGCCAGAGTTATAGGTAATGCTGAAGGAGCGCTGCGATAGGTAGGAGGAGAACCAGGAGAGAGCAGAGTCTCTGAGGCCAAGAGAGTGGAGTTTTTTGAGGAGGAGGGGATGGTCAACAGTATCAAAAGCTGCAGAGAGGTCAAGTAGTAAGAGTACGGAGTAGTGGCCATTGGTTTTAGCAGTTAGTAGATCATTAGTGAGTTTTAGTAGGGCAGTTTTCAGTGGAGTGTAGTGAGCGAAAGCCGTACTGTAAAGGGTCAAGAAAGTTGTTGTCAGTGAGGTAGGAGCTCAGGCGATTGTATACTAAGTGTTCTAGGAGTTTAGAGGTAAATGGCAGCAGGGAGATGGTTCTTATGTTGTTCAGGTTGGTGGGGTCCAGGGAGGGCTTTTTAAGTATGGGAGTGATGTGTGCATGCTTTAGAGGGGTGGGGAAGGTACCGTTAGAGAGGGAGAGATTGCAGATGTGAGTGAAGGAGCATAGGATGGAAGAAGAGGGTGAACGTAGTAGTTGTGAGGGGACAGGATCCAGGGGGCAGGTAGTGAGACGGGCTTCTGAGAAAACCTTAGTGACCTCTTCGGTAGTGGCGAGGTCATAAGAGGAAAATGTTGAGGGAGGTTTAGTATAAGGTATGCTAAGTGGGATGGATGTCTGTGCAGTGGAGATGCCCCTACGAATTGCATCAATCTTGTTTTTAAAATAATTTGCAAACTTGGGAGCAGTGAGTGAGGTACTGGGTGGAGGTGGAGAAAGTACAGAATTAAAAATAGAGAAGAGATGAGGACTTGATGATAAGCTATTGTTGAGTGACAAAGTAGACTTGTTTGGCAGCATGGAGGGAGGAATTGTATGTTAAGAAAGCAGATTTATATAAGGTGAATGCTTGGTGAGATTTGGTATTACACCACAATCGCTCCAGCGCACAACTATGTCGCTTAAGATTTCTGGTGTCGTCAGTCTGCCAAGGTTGTAATGGTCAGGGCCTGATGCATGTTAGATTAGCACATTTAACCCTCTGATCGCCCCTATTAACCCTTTGATCGCCCTGTCAGTGTCATTGCTGCAGTATCAGTATATAGAATTTTTTTACTGATCACTGTATTCCTGCCACTAGCAACAACAGATAGCGTTGGAGTCGGCTAGCGCTCCTCCCAGCCAGGGTCAGCTAGCATTAGATTGCCTGCACACTATCACACTTACGCGATCAAGAACAGAACTTTATTAGTACCCCCTTAGTATTAGTGTCCCCCAAAAGCGCAGTGTTAGCAGAATCAGCCCTGTTAACTGCCAACACTAGCATTTAGCCCCTCTGCCCCCCCCCTTCCCAACAAGAAGGGCAATTACATAGTTAGTCTGGCTGAAAGAAGACAAAAAAGTCCATCCAGTTCAATCATTAAAAAGAAAAAAAAAAAAAAAAAAGTTATAATCCTATACCCACAGTTGACCCAGAGGAAGGCAAAAAAAAAAAAACCCACAGCAAAGCATGATCCAATTTGCTCCTGCAGGGAAAAGAATTCCTTCCTGATCCCCCGAGAGGGCAGTCAGATATTCCCTGGATCAACTTTCTGATCACTGTCACGTGTGATACATTTCACACAAAACCGCAGCGTTAGGAGAATCAGGCCTGACCTCTGCTAGCACTAGCAGGTGAATTTTATTGGTAATGGTTGAAGCAGTCTCTGGCAGCCAGGAGCTCTTTTCCCTTGAGTCACACTAGGTAATACATTTAGTGGTCAAAATGTCCAAAGAAAGGTACACTAGTGAAGAGGTCTACAGGATTCTGAGCATGTCAGATGTGGGCGAAGGGGAAGCCTCTCCGACAGAATTCACCTTATAATACGAACCTCTAGAGAGCAGCAGCACCCCGTCAGGTAGCTCGGACAATGGAGAAGAGGTCCTTGCTAAGATCAGGTGTATCCGACCCCATGTAGCTGAAGTGCTAAGAACACATGACTTGTCTCATATGCAGCAGTGTCAGTACTAGTGCCGCTCTACCTTTTCCTGAACTGGCAAGCACCACTGGCCTAGTTCATCCTGACATTTTACATGCCAGGACTGCAGTATCACTTGGTGATGTGGTGAGTCCCATAAGTGCAGTACAAGCTGGTGCGGTGGCTAGTACTGGTAGCGTTCTTCAGCCACCAAGAATTCGCACACAGGCCCGTAGAGCCAATACTGTCCTTCCGGATGTGCTTGCAAATCCTGATTGGCAGCTGTGACGGGAGTCACTTTGGGTGGGGGGCTCATGGAACACAGCCCCCTTTGGAGAGGTGGGGAGACCCCTCTCAGCTCCCCATATCCCTATTATGTATAAGTCACCCTGTGCCTGTCAGGGCTACAGGGTGAAATGTCCTGCTATTGAGTAGACATGTATAGGTGGGGTGTGGGGGTTGTTCATTGTTTACTGCCAAGTTGTTTTTCCCATTGTTCTATTGTGTCTTGCTTGGGAGCAAACTATTATGGGATGTATGTGTTATGTTTATTGACTTGGTGTGTGGGGGGGGGGTTTTCCAGAAGCCCTCCTGACGGGACTGTCTGTTGCGATGTGTCTATTGTTACTAAATGTATTGCCCCGTCCTGTGTATATATCTTGTGTATGTCTTAAAATAAAGCAGTCTATTTCCTGTTTTAATACTAGTCTGGTGCTGTCTATTTCCTGTTTGGTCAGCGGCGGTGTCCGTGAATCTGTGTTCGGACAGGGAAGCAGAATCTGAGCAGAAATCTGAAAAGGACCCACAAACGTTTGACCCAACTTAGCAGATGGCACATGCACCTTCAAATTCTTTATTGATAACCAAACTTTGTCACCCACATGAAATGTATGAAGTGCTCTCTCCGGTGTCTGTCAGCCGTCTTTTTGTAATATTCCTGAGCTTCCCTCAAAGTCTCAATCAATTTCTCCTGAATCTCCTGCAATGTAGTTAGTCTGTTGGTAACAGCAGGAATTGGAGTTGTGATAGGGAGATCAGGAATAAAAACTGGATGATAACCGGTGTTTAAGTAAAAGGGACTTTGAGAGGTGGAACTATGTTTAGAATTGTTGTATGCAAACTCTGCAGTGGGAAGACAGTCCACCCAGTCATCCTGAAGATAAGTGACAAAGCATCGAAGATACTGCTCCATTGTTTGATTAGTTCTCTCAGTCTGACCATTAGACTGGGGATGAAAAGCAGAGGACAGATTGATTGTAACACCCAAGGCTGAGCAAAAGCTTTTCCAAAATTTCGAAGTAAACTGCACACCTCTGTCAGACACCACATCATCAGGGATTTCATGCAGTTTAAATACTTCTCGAACCATCAGTTCTGCAGTCTGTTCAGCAGTGGGCACCCCCTTCGCTGGAACAAAATGGGCCATTTTTGTGAGATGGTCAATCACCACCAAAATGGTGGTCATTCCTTTTGAGGGAGGTAAATCCACCACAAAATCCATAGAAATAGACCCCCATGGTCTTGATGGAAAAGAGAGTGGTTTGGATGTGTTCACAGCCAGAAAGCACAATCCCACCGCTTGCCACCAATGTAATGGAACCGGACCCTGACTGCACTAGGGTATTTCCGTTAGACTCCTGCTTCCCTCTCCGAACACAGATCCATGGACACCACTGGTGACCAAACAGGAAATAGACAGCACCAGACTTTTATTAAAACAGGAAATGGGCTGCTTTATTTTAAGACATGCACAAGATATATACACAGGGTGGGGCAATACATTTAGTAACAATAGACACATCCCAACAGACAGTCCCCTCAGGAGGGCTGCTGGAAACACCCCCCCCCCACCAAGTAAATACATATAACACATACATCCCATAATAGTTTGTTCCCAAGCCCGACACAATAGAACAATGGGACCACCAGGTGGCAGTAAACAATGAACAACCCCCATACCCCACCTATACATGTCTACTCAATAGCAGGACATTACACCCTGTACCCCTAGCAGGCACAGGGTGACTTACACATAATAGGGATATGGGGAGCTGAGACAGGGGTCTCCCCACCTCTCCAAAGGGGGCTGTGTTCCATGGGCCCCTCACCCAAAGTGACTCCCGTTACAGCTGCCAATCAGGATTTCAGTTTCTGCAGCACCCATAATTCCCCCATTCACTGTCCAACCCAGAATTCAGGAGGAAACAACAACTTTAACTACTCCCCTTGATTTTCTGGAGCTGTTTTTCATGGAAGATCTGTATGCATTGAATGTGTATCAAAGCAATTTATATGCACAACAATAGATCACTGCCAACCCAAATTCAGCTCTTGTAAGAAAATTTACATGGAAATCTATCACAGTTTCCGAATTTAACATTTTTGGGGTCTAACCCTCAACATGGGCATTACAAAAAAAAAAGAATGAATTGCGGTCATATTGGTCCACAGACCCGATTCATCATATGCCCATGTTCTCTGCTGCCATGGCCAGACATAGATATGAGACGATAATGCACTTCATGCATTTCAGAACATTATATATATGCCCAACAAGGACTAGCGATGTACTGGTAATTGTAAAAAAAAAAAAAAAGCAAAGAAAAGAAAAAAAAAAAGAAAATATTTAAAAAAAAATTATTAAAAATGTTTTTTTCATACTGTCACCAGTCAGTGTCCCTGATCAGCAGCACACTAGTTATACAACGACTGGTGACAGTATCTAAAAAAAAGGTTAATTTTTTTTCTTTTTCCAAAAAAAAATTACAAAAAATTACAACTTCAGAAAATTTACCATGCCTCTTACTAAAGGCTTTGGACTGTCTACTTTCCAAAAAGGGGTAATTTGAGGGATATCTGTACTGTCCTGACATTTTGGGGCCTCAAGAAATGAGATTAGCCGTCAGTACACCTGGATTTATTGATTTTCAGATATTTCATGTGTCGCAAAAACTGCGCGCAGGCAAAACACAGTCAAGTACTCAGTTCAACCATGTTGTAGGCACCTCCATCTTGGTACGGAGTATATATTGTGTCTCTCATTTCTCATTCTCCTTCCCCCTCCCTTCCTGAGAGGCACAGTGACAGATGTGTGTGTGTTAAAAAGTTGCTGGCAGGCTAGAGCAGCATGGGTTCCAGAGCTACAAAGGCCCCTCAGAGAGACAGAGCCTGGCTGTCCAAAAACGTGTGTAAGCTCTCACCTCGTAACGGAGATAAGGTAGCTTTTCCCTGGACTTGAAAGAGATTGTAACCTCATAAAACCTACCAGCATAGGTGACAGAATTAAATGAACATTCCTCAAGCCAGTTTGTCCCCTACGTTTCATATTAATGGATTATGAAGATGTTGGTTTTAATTCAGAGTCCGCCCGACGATCCCTCCCTAAACAGAGTATTTGGTCAGTTACTCAGAGCCACTCCCCTGCTGGGGGACTTTAAAACACAGGCTAGCAGGCCTAAAAGCGAAAGCTAAACACATCTCCTAATTTTCACATCAATATACCACCTGGGGAGACCCATTTCGGTCTGCAACGTGGATCTGCTTACAAACCAAGGCATACTGGCAAGTAACGTAATGCTTTAACTTCTCCCTGTTATCTCTTTGCTGTGCTATGGTTCTTTGTGTGTATATATACGTATATATATCTTAGTTACATCTTCTTTGTAAATATTTTATTGCACCTGTTTGACTCTTTTAGTAATAAATCTTTCTTTCTGAAAGTGGGTAAACTGTTTCTAAGCGCTTTACTTGCAATTCACGAATTCCTGCCTTTTGAAGAGACGCTACTGTGTTTGTTTAATCCTCTGCCCAATTGGCCTGCGGTGACCGTATTGGACAGATGACTTTTCAACCATTACAGTGTTATTAGTATTAGATAAAGAGAGTTTCCCCTTTCTCTGTACAAAAAAGGGGTGTGGTGGCAGTGACGGGTTAGTTGCGTAATTAACCCGACCCCAGTAACAATCGCTCAGGCTGACGGCACATTGACCAGTTGAACCTTAGCTGGAAAATCGCTGTGTAGGGTGCAGCTGGGTGTGGCATTGTTCCGCACATCACATCGCGGTTTTAGATCGGCTGGTCCTTCGGTCACAAATTTGGTGAGAAGGTATGGGGTCTGACGCTGTGATCGTAACGTATTGGTGGTCGTGAGATTGTCGCATGTTGGTAGCGGGCAATCTTGCGTCGTGACATCATGTACTACCTAGTGGGTGTGTGTATTTTGTTAAAAACCCTTGCCTCTGCTGTGTTGTCCAGCTTGGAACTGCAGGTCATGTGATCGCTGTCAACTCCACAGCAATCACGGACCTGCCGGTGGGCATTATGTCAGAACCGGAAGTAAAGTTGCGGCCAAGTTACTATGTTTCCAAGGGTAATGGAACACAAATCATACTTGGCAGCAAATATGTCACTACCCCCCTTTCCCCAACAGAGAACAGGGATTGGTGGGGCTGTGCATTGACCACTGAAGATGCAGACACGTTGTGCTTTTGCACAGCACACACTGTATATTTGGCGTGATGACACAAGATGTAAACTGACCACAGTGGCTTGGATCAGCTGCCATGTTACCATGGTCAGTTTACCTGTAGGAGCAGCAGCACAGGCAGAATCAACCAGGTATATAGCGGGTAAAATAAGTATTAAACACCTCACCATTTTTCTAGGTAAATATATTTCTAAAGGTGCTACTGACATGAAAATTTTTTCACCACGTCGGTAACAACCCATGTAATCCATACATACAAAGAAACCAAAAAAATAAGTTCAGAAATGAAGTTATCTGTAATAAAATGGAATGACACAGGGAAAAAGCATTGCACACATTAAGAAAGGGAGGTGCAAAAAGGCATGGAAAGCCAAGACTCCAGCTGAAATCTATCAGTAATTAAAAGCAATCCTGCCCTTTGTCCGTGCAAATGAATATCAGCTGGTTCAGTCTCAACTGACGGCCTATAAAAAGGTGTCTCATTACCAAGGTGTCACATAAGAAAAATCTCATGATTGGTTTGAAAAGCGAAGAACTCTCTCAAGATCTTTGCAACCTCATTGTTGCAAAACATACTGATGGCTTTGGTTATGGAAGGATTTCTAAACTTATGAATAGAGATGAGCGAATCGAACATGACGAAGTGGAATTCGTTCCGAAGATTTGGAAAAATTCTATTCGCGACGAATCCGAAGATTAGCAAACTTCGGATGCACGAATCGAATTTTCCCAAAAATGGCGGCAACAATGTGTGGCGACGGAGAAAATGGACAGAGAAGATGGGGCGGGGATCTCTGGGAAGGCGCGCAGACAAGGCGCGCTGACCCATAATGCATTCATGACATGTGATCGCATTAGCCAATCAGCAGCCAGCCAGCACTGTGTAATGGTGGAGCTATAAATCGCGGCCATCTTAGAATTCTCCATTA